TAGTTTAAATATTATTTAAATAGTAAATTTATTTTAAAAATAATTAGTTTAATTTTCCAATTTTAAAATCTCATACTTTTAAATCCTAATTATCTGTTGCCAAACATCTTTCTGGATTTAACAGAATTAAAAATTGTCATACAAACCAACAATTCAAGTATTAGGACCATCTAGATTTACATAAATTACCGAGATTAACAGGATCGTAGTAAAATCCTACTAAATTTGTAATCCAATCAATAATAAGCCAAAACACAACCCCAAAGACCCTATGAATCATAATCCATCACTCATAACAAAAAGAAGAGCTACGCTGAAAACGAAACTTGTTTCGAGTCGTGTCCGGGTCAGATCAGATACAGACAGGTCAAATTTGGATCTAACCCGAACACGACCCGCCGACACTAATTGACAGCCCTACGATAAGGCTACTTATGCATATAGGAAATTGAATCGACATCGGCGACCTTGAATTATGTTATCACGAACTTCATAGCCATCTTGAAGGCAATGACCGAATTCCCTTAGGGCATTTAAATGGCCGAGAGAGGTCGCGCGAGCGTAGAACGCCACTCCGGCTTGTAAGTCTTTCTACCTTTTGGAACCTCCGCTGCCATTAAACTGTATAATAGCAAGAGAGTAAAGCGCCTGAGCATGGAATTTGATCGCCGCTTTCGCTAGTAGAGATATTCCAGTTAATCTGTAACCTAAATAGTAGAATCAGATCTGAAACATTGGGCTGGAGGAAATAATTAGCTATTTGAGTTAAAATCCTCAGTGTATGGATGAAGAGAAATCATGACTAATTTGTTCACTTACCATTCCAAGCATATAGCAGACATGCATATTGCCAGCCATACAGCAGCACCAGAGAAAACAATGAGCATAATTCGACCAGTTTTTTTCCTTCATCGCAAGCACGTGGTATTTATATATTTCGCATTTAAATTGATATGAATAGGAGAGTGAAAAGAGAGAATGTATTATATTTAGTAAAAAAAAAAATATAACATATTTATTTCAAATAAAGAAATTATTCATAATAAAAGAATAGTGATATGATGCATAAGAGATATAGTAAAAGTATTAAAATAATTATATTATCATACTAATATCATCACATATACTTTATATTTATTAGGAATATATAATATTTATTATTAAGAAAAGAAAGATTGTAGCCATTAGTTGTTTTTTTGTGAGAGGGATTAGTGCAATCATTCAATCTTCAAATAAAAAAGATATGCAACCATCAATCCTTCTAAGATGAATAAATAAATTCAGACCTTAACTATTATTTAGAGGATTGAAGAAATTCAAATAATTTGATAATTAGTGGGAACAAATGGCTCTGATATGGCTTATGCCCTATAGCCCTTTCCAAGTTTCTTCGCATCTTCATTAGTCGCTCCTCTGTGATTTCTTCTCCTAATATTTTTTCCCTTTCTAGCTCTATTTCCTTCTTCATTTTGGTTTATGATCATTCCACCTCTAGTCGTATTTCGATTGGATGGCTGTTAATCGCTTGTCAAACGGTGGTTTTGTTTGTGGTCAAAAAAATACTTGCTAATTTCTAAAAGCATTGTATTTGGCTTCCGTTACGAACAGATTTCTCAACCTCAAATTCACAACACATCATGGGATTCTATCGCTATGGATTTCAGAGCAGGAAATCTTTGATCTAAAGCAACCTTTTGAGTTTACGTTGGTTAGTAAATTTTTAAATCACAGTCCACCGCTAGAGTCGATCCGTATGTTCTTCTTTAACTTAAAGTTGAATGGGGATTGCTCTGTCATTGTTTTGAATCCTAAGCATGTTTTAATTAAGCTGGTTAATAATATAGATTATAGTAGAGTTTTTTCTCATCGATCTTACTTCATCTCCAATTGCTACTTGAAGTTATTTAAGTGATCACCTTATTTTGATATTACGGTAGAATCTCCGATCATTCCTATTTGGGTGTCGTTCCCAAATCTTAGGCCTCATTCAATCCTCCTCCTCCCCCCCTGCATACTTCACGGGTTGGATTTGACTTTTGGTCATCCGTTAAAAACTAATAATGCCACTGCCATTAGTTCTCAACCGTCTGTAGCTAGAGTCCTTGTTGAACTTGATATTTCCAAAAGATATCTTGAGACTGTTTGGCTTGGTCTTTAAAATTTAGGTTACGTCTAAAAAGTTATTATGGTGGAGTTTCCCCCCTTCTGTGATCACTGCAAGTCGCTATGGCATTGCAAAATTGAATGTTGTATTCTTCACTCTCACTTAGTTAGGTCTCCTCCTAAACTTATTGTTAATTTTATGGGGATTGGAATTGAGGCTCAATGTGTGAACACAGAACACTGATGTTGCGGCTTTTACTCCCTTGCTAACTCCTGCCCACAATGTTAACTTATCTTTGCAAGAGAATGTGGGTTATATTGATTCTGATCTTTTGTACCATCCGGATGTCAATCAGAACCTTCTGGTGATGTGCCTATTGGTGGTTATGTTGTTGTGGAGGCTGGTAGAGATGCTCTGCTACCTGTGGGCATTTCTTCTCATTCTCATTATAGTTATCCTTTATTTGAAATGCCTAATTGTGATCAAAGGGAGGTCATTAATATTATGTATGGTAATAATTTTTCTTTAATGGTTACTTGTGAGAATTCCCTCGTTGTTTGTGAGAGAATTGCTAAAGATAATACTCTTTATAGTGAGAACTTATATGGTGTTAATGTGAAAGTTTGTGATGTTAATAGAGTTGATTTCAATGATTCTTCTAGGGGATTGTATTGGTTTTTGCTAACTCTCCTTTGTCTAATTCAGGTGTGCCGCCTAATTTGGATAAAAATGTAACTATTGTTGACCTTACGATCTCTCTTATTTCTAAGAATGCTTTGAATGCCCAGTTGGCTTTAAACTCAAATGAGTCATGTGTGGATCAGTCCAATTGGCTGGATGAGTTACTAATCTGATTGTCTGGGTGACGAGGATGATAAGGTGGATCCTAGTGATTATTTTCAAGATTTGTTTGGCTTGAAGGTGGTTCGTATTGAAGATGGTGCTTTCTGGAATGGTGTTCCTAAGCGAAGCAGACGGAAAATAAAAAGAAAACTAAAAAGATTTTTTTTTTTCGGTGCCTTTGGCTAGGCTCTGTGTGGCCTTTGTTGGCCTTCCAGTTTTCTGTTGTCTGTGTGTATTGGTTTGTGCTGCTGGTGTTGTGTTTGTTGTGCTATGGGTGGTGGTGTTCTTTTGTTTGTTATCTGGTTTGGGGTGCATTTTCTTGTTATGTTGGCTTGGAGCTGATTCTTTTG